TATGCTAGCTGATTGACTTAATTAGTAATGCATACATTATGCGAAACGAGGAAAATCTCAGTCTCAGATCTATCTGATGTGCAAAAGCTATATTCCCATACCATAAATACAAGAGAACTCCACCCACAATTGCAGGGTCGAGCCACAGGAAGGCTACACTACAGCTAATACCCATGATCTATGTTAATTTTAAGGTACTCATTATAGACAAAGCACCTCTAGTGCGTTTTCCCTTTTGAACTTGAAGTTAAATTTACTCCTTGAAGTAGATTAATAACTAGATCTGATTGGTTTAGAGTGTACCGTCAGTCTCTGATTTCCATTTCCCCTCAAAAGATTAAAGAAAGGATGTGCAAATATCAATATTATTTTGAGTGGATACGGTGTACAGCAACACCCTGCTATTCTCTGATTGACAAACTCAGCTGCTACTGTAGCTTTAGGTTTCCCAATGTCTTTTCTCCTYAATGCCAACATAATATCACAACAACGTTAAGTAAATAATATCAAGGAAAAACTATATACATGTATGTACACTGTTCTTCCTGTAGGCTTATGCAGAAAAAAATGGAGAGTCACATTATTTTGAGGGAGTTATATGTAAAAGTACTTRTGTTTAATATAACAGTATTTTCCAGTCAAGTACCTGAATAAGAATTGTCGATTRAAGTTTGAAATATCTATAGTATCCATGTCAATAACATCAATGTTTCTGAATCCTGAGAGAGCCTGAAACAACATGTAAATTAAAATTCAATCAAAATTAAATACAATAATTTAACTCCACAGAAACCTGCCAGTTCTGGGTAAAATGCATGCAGACCTGAGTCTGATTCACTAAATAACTAAACCATAATGATTGTCACTCAATATTATATTTTACAATCAAATTCTAGTTGATCATACCAAGTCTTTGAGGAGTTCACAACCAAGTCCCCCAGCTCCAATAACTAACACTTTGGCATTTTCCAAAATAAAGTTTAATACCTATGAAACAAAACAATRTATGTCATTAATCAAATTTTAGATTACTGAAACAGAATTTATCTTTAACTCAAATATTTATTTAAGTTTATATTTGTTTGGGAGATAGATGCGAGTGTACACTTTTTATTGTTACCCAATCAAATGTACACGTGCACTATTGCTCACATAAGCTTATGTCAATAATGCACAGTGCCTACAATTGGCCGTGTCAATGACAATTTGTCAATTTGATCACCTCTGGTCCTGGTTCAAAGTCAAGATGAGCAAGAGGTCCACCTCGTACCAATAACTTCTGCAAATGATTCCATCTTCCTGGCCAATTATTGGGATCAATCCTAAATAAATACCAAGAAAACARTGTCCTTTTTAGATGATTTGCAGCAGCTTAGACATGAACAAAAATTTGCAGTCACTTTATATTTAATAGAAGTTCCAATCATAGGACAGGCCTTATCTAAAATAAGTGGAGACTACTTACGAAGACGACGGGCTCTCTTCGACTTCCATATCGATATATTTTTATTCAAAATTAATTAATTTAGCTTACAACCTAATATTCTTGGCCAAAATGAAATAAACAACCGAACTCCTGTCAGCTTAGCAGCCAGGCATTCGTTGCTCGGATTCTCGAACACACTCCGGTTATTCTCCGAATCAACTTCGTGCAAATACGAATACTATTCGTTTTTATTCTGATTGCTCAGCAACACGGAAACTAAAACAAAGTTTACTCATTTCGACTATTTTGCACTTTCAGCAGTTTATTGTACCCAAAAGAGATGATCAAGAACCGGAAAGGAACCATTAT